AAGACAAAAAGTGTTGGTGAGGTTGTGGAGAAAAGGGAACCCTCCTGTACTGTTGGTAGGAATGTAAATTGGTGTAGCCACTAATGAAGACAGTATGGAGGTTCCTCAAAAAATCAGAACTACTTTGTGATCCAGAAGTTCCACTCTGGGTCATTTACCTAAAGAAGAGAAGTACACTAACTTGAAAAGATATCTGCGCCCTTGTGTTCATGGCAGCATTTTTTACTAACGGATAAAAAATGTTTTACATGTGCACAATGTAATATTTTTCAGCCATAAAATAGAAGAAAAAACTTGCCATTTGCATCAACATGGATGGACCTCAAGGACATTATTATAAGTGAAATAAGTCAGAGAAAGACAAATACTGTATGATTTCACTTAGATGTGGAATCTAAAAACAAAACTGAATTTAGGGATAGAGAGAACACATTGATGGTTGCCAGAAGCGAAGAGTATAGGATGGGTGGAATGGATGAAGGTGGTCAGAAGCCACAAACTTCCAGTTATAAATAAGTTCTGGGGATGTAATGTACAGCATAGTAACTATAGTTAATAAAACGGTGTTGTATATTTTAAAAGTCATAGGAGAGTAGATCTTAAAAGTTCTCATCATAAAAAATTTTTAACTGTGTGATGATAGATGTTAATTATAAGACTTTTGTGGTAATCATTTCACATATATACACATAAGGAATCATTATTTGTACACCTGAAACTAATATAATGTTATATGTCAGTTATATATCAATAAAAAAAAAAAAGAGGAAGAGACAGCAGAGCCCACTGTCTTTATGTCCACATACTGAGGAAAAGCCATGTGAAGGCACAGTGAGAAGGCAGCCATCTGTAAGCCATGAAGAGAGATCTCACCAAAACCCAACATGCTGGCACTCTGATCTTGGGCTTCTAGACTCTAGAACTGAAAAAATAAATGTCTCTTGTTAAAGCCAAAGGAAAAAAAGAGAAAAAGGAACAAAGATTAACTGGGTAAATAGGAAACAAATAGCAAGATCATGGATTTAAACCACAACAGTGATTACATTAAAATTAAATGGTCTAGGGGTACCTGGGTGGCTCAGTCGTTAAGTCTGATCTCAGGTCAGGTCTTGATCTCAAGGTTGTGAGTTGAAGCCCCACGCTGGACTCCATGCTGGGCATGTTGCCTACTAAAAAAAAGTCTAAAAACTCTAATTGAAAGGCCAGTTGATTGGATAATATGCTGCCTACCAGAAACTTGCTTGATATATTAAGATACAGGTTAAAAGAAAGAAAAAGGGTATTCTGTGCAAAGCATAAGCAATCTAGAATGGTTACATTAATAATGATATATTAATATACAAAGGAATAAGGGATAAAAAGAAGCATTTCATAATGATGGAGTCAATTCATAAAAATTACATAACAGTTGTAAATATGTATAATCTAATACCAGAACTACAAAGTACATGAGACAGAAACTGCCAGAACTGAAAGAAACAGGCAAATCTATGCATAGATTTGAACATGCTTCTCTCATTAATTGATAGAACCAGTGGACAAAAAAATTAGTAAGGATATAGAAGAGTCAAATGATCAAATAAGTGATCTAGTCGATGTTCTGAAATAGTTAACCCAACAACAGTAAAATACACATACTTTTGAAAAGTACATGGAATATTTACCAATAGACCCTTAATGTTTGGGCATCAAACAAGTCTCAGAAATTTAAAAGATTTGAAGTCCTACACAGTAGGTTTTGTGACCTCAGTGGAAGTATTTCAGGAATAGATACTTGGGAAATTCTCAGTTACTTGGAAATTAAGCAATATTTATAAATAACCTGTGGATCAAAGAAGAAATTTGAGGGAAATTAAACTGGTTTTTCAAAATGGAAAAAAAAAAGGAAACAATAAAAATTTGTGGAATGCAGGTAAAACGGCACCTGTAGAGAAATTTATTGCTTTCAATGCTAATACTAGAAAAGAAAAAAAAAAGTCAATAATCGTAAGTTTTTATCTGAAATCAGTAAAAGAAGAGCAAAGTAAACCTGAAATAATTAGAAGTCAGGAAATGAGAGCAAAAAACTATGAAATAAAGAACAAACCAACTTTGAAGAAAATCAGCAATTTCAACAGTTGAGTTTTTCAAAAAGGTATAAAATTGTTAAAGCTCTAATGGTTGGTTGCTCAGAGAAAAAAGGAGAAAATATTACTGATAATCCGATATGAAATGTCTGATTGAGTAATAACCAGTGATATGAATATCACTGCAGATCAGACATTAAAGGGATGATAAAAAAATATAAATTTGATAACTTTTTGTTTTTTATTGTTCAAGGATGCACACATTCCTTGAACAATACAACTTATTAAAATAGAAATAGAACTAATTGAGTAGCATATGAAGAAATTTGAATTCATTATCAAAAATCTTCACACAAAATACTGCTGAATTCTATTAAGGATTTAATCTTACACAGAGTTTTTCAGATTTCTGAGGTTGGTATGACTTTTATATAAAAATCTGATGAAGTCATGAAAAAATGAATTATAAACCATTATCTCATGAGCATAAACACAGAAATCAAAACAAAGCATTAGCACATCAAGCCCAGCAAAATATGTAAAGGTTATACATTATGATTAAAGGGAGTTACCCCATTCATTCAAAAGTAAAATATGTAAAAGTTATATATTATAATTAATGATGTTTATCCCATGTATTCAGAAGTTAATATACTATATTAAACAGCTTAAAAGATGGCCATCTCAGATGCAGAAAGAGAATTTTATGTATTCAGTACTTAATTTCAGTAAAAAAGCTCCATAATAGCAACAGTAGGGAACTTTATAAATTGAACAAAGCTCATCTATGAAAAACCTGCCGCTAACCATTTTTTTTTTTTAAGGTTTTATTTATTTATTTGACAGAGAGAGAGATAGCGAGATCAGGAACACAAGCAGGGGGAGTGGGAGAAGGAGAAGCAGGCTTCCCGCCGAGCAGGGAGGACTATGTGGGACTCGATCCCAGGACCCTGAGATCATGACCTGAGCCGAAGGCAGGTGCTTAATGACTGAGCCACCCAGGCACCCCCCCTGCAGCTAACATTCTTAATGCTAGATAGATAGTGATATATCTGTACAATGGAATACCAATCAGCAATAAAAAGAAATGAAGTAGGAATGCATGGAACAGCATGGATATAGTTTATACATTCTGCCTAGCAAAAGAAGCAGATACAAGATGTATGTGCTGTGTGATTAAATTTATTTGAAACTCAAAGATACCTGTAGTGACAGAATGAAGATCAAGGTTTCTTGAAGCTTGAACTTAGGAAGGATTGATGAGGGTGGTGTATGAATGTCCATTTGGGGTGACAGAAGTGTTCTGTATCTTGACTGTTGTGGTTCCATGGTGCATACATTTGTCAAAAGATATTGGAATATCCATTTAAAATTGGTTCATTTTATTATGTAAACATTCTAATAAATGATTTAAAATATATTACAAAAAGATATGTGGCTTAGGCTAATATTGAAAGTGGTTAGTATAGATCACTGTACTTGTTAGCATTACATTTAAGTTATTAAAAGTTGTTTCCTTTAATTCTCAAATGTTTCAGATGTGTGAGTAGAGGCTTTTGTTGTTTGAACCATTATTAATAATTTAATGATTATTAATCTAATTAAAATGGTTCTGGGATCATCAAGAATTCAATTCAAATGTTGGCTTTGTTACTACATATATGGCTTTGGAAAGGTTCTTTTTTGGGGGGGCAGTTCTTAATATCTCTTTACCCAGTTATTTTCAAAATGAGGAATAATAGTTCTTAATGTTAAGCCTATGAATGATTATGTAAATTAGATATAATTCATGTACAGTGTTTAGCAAGTGCCTGTCATAGATTAAGCCCTGAATAAATGTAACTACCATTTTTATTAATTACCTTGTTGTTATTCTTACTGTTAAACTTCAACAGATTCCTTTAGTTCAATGAACTGATTTCATGTGTTTTTCCCTACCCCTCGACCCCATTCTGAAGTGTTTCTGGGATTTTCTTGGATTTTCGTGGATTATATACTCTAGAACTTTTTCTTAGATTATAAGGCCTTTTGAGAATCTGATAAAGAGATATGCTTCTTATACCCAGAAAAATAAGCTGAAAAAATACCCATACAATTTTCCATGGGTGGTTCATAAATTCATTAAAGCCTGTAAATAAGATCCTTTGCTGCTGAGCAAGATTGTAGAAACAACTTTCTTACTTATATAATGTTAAAATTTCTTTAAAAATTTTTTTATTGTAGTTTAAATTTTTATTGGTTCAAATTTAGACTTCATTCATCTATGAGTTAAAATGATAAACTTTTAAGAATGAAAATGGACTTTTTATTTTTATTTATTTATGTTTTTAAAAAGATTTTATTTATTTGTCAGAGAGAGAGCACAAGCGGGGGAGCGGTAGGCAAAGGGAGAAGCAGGCTCCCCACGAAGCAGGGAGCCTGATGTGGGGCTCGATCCCAGGACCCTGGGATTATGACCTGAGCCGAAGTCAGGCACTTAACTGACTGAGCCACCCAGGCGTCCCGAAAATGGACTTTTTAAAATAAAAATTTGCTAATATTACTAGTTGCTGTATTTGGAAACTCCCCTACTTTGATCAGATTGAATCTTATGTAACTTCTAGAAAATGATTAATTTTTGTGCAACATGTTAGAATTCTGTCATGTTTGGCCAAGAGCTGTGAATTTTGACATGCTTTTGTTAAGGAACTTGTATAATATGACTTCTTGGATTTCTGAATTAGCATTTTATTACCTAAATATTCCTAAAATTGTTACTGTTTAAAACAATATCCAAAATAATCAGTTTAAGTGAATTTTACTTTTTTGGATATTTTAGTGCTCTTAATTTTTTATTTTTATTTTACCATTTTTAATTAGGAGGTATAGAATGTAAACAGTATGGAAGGGGATCTTTGTGATTCTGCATTCTTCAAAAACAAATTATTCTTTCAGAAACTGTTTTGACTGGAACTACCTCACCTTTACCATCTCCGGGGAATGGGAGTGAAACTGCACCTGGATCAGTTACACAGCCAAAGAAAATTCGAGGAATTGGATTTGGAGATATTTTTAAAGAAGGCTCTGTGAAACTTAGGACAAGAACATCTGGTAGTGAAATAGAAGAGAAGAAAACAGAAAAGGTAATGATGAACTTCTAGATTAACTGCACTTATTCTCTCATTAAGTATTTTTTAAAATGTAAAAGTCAGTTTGCAACTCTGTTATATTTCCTTTTTTAAGATCACTAATAATTGGTTATGAATGAGAAGACTGAGAAACTGCAACTTTATAGTGATTACTTTAATGTTTATATTTGGTTCTTATAAAATGAGAATGTTTACTGGTAAATTTAACACCTGACTTTTCTTAGTGGAAACTTTAGAGTTTTTGGTTATCATAGGTGAAAATAGAAAAGGCGATTTTTTTTTTTCGCTTTGCCTTTGAAAAGCTAAAATTACATATTTTTTCTTTTAATTTGAAATAGGCCTAACATGGGTCATTTTAAAATGGATTCACAATGAGATACTAAGTTGATTAGGCTCTACTTAACTTTCCTCTGGATTGCCTGTTAGGGGGAAATCTGCTAATCTCTCTCTCTAAATGTATGGAGAACTTTATTTTTCATTAGTACTTCACTGGCGTTGTGAAATAAATCAAAATGAACATACCATAAATTATAACATCTAATAACAGATTTTATTTATTTTACTTTATTTTTTACCACTTGGTGAGATCCTTTTTATTTTTTCCTTCCAAATTAATAACAGATTTTAAAATAAACTCCCAAGTCTTTGTTTTGGGGGAAAATAGCTACAATTTCTGGAACACTAATTACAAGGCTATATTGTTTCCGAGGCTCACATCTTAGAGATACAGACTACTTATTTCAGATAGGAGCTTTTTCCATTGACTTTTAGGGTGTTGTTTCATTTTAGTTCTCAGTTCTATGTCTGTATTTAACTCTTAAGTTTTAAGTATTTCAGTATTTGCTTGCCTAGTTCAGCTATATTTCACTTATAACACTGTTTTGGTTGGTGAAATATATTTTCAAGTTTTCTTCTACAGTGGTTAGTTTCAACATATTTTTTCTTTCTCAGCTTGCTACGTATTTTTTCATGTAATACTGATTTGGATTCAGGAAAGAGAACTTGTACTTTCTACCCTACCCTCTCCTAGCTCCGAGACTGTCTGGCAGTAAGAATATGGGGCCTAATTGATTCTTGGTTTTAAAGGTGAAGATTGGAATTCTTATGGTTTTGGAATGGTGCTGTATAGCCATATAAGAGCCAGGAATGTTGGAGAAGCCGTGTTTGCGTTATGAGGGACATTAGATAATCTGGGGCTCCTTTCTAACTCTAAAGCTTATGATTTATATCAAATAACTTTATTTAATTAATGATTACACTAGTACTCTTTCAGAACACTTAAAATGTTCACTACTCAAGAGTTATTATTAGTGAGAGTCGTCTCAGGGTCACCCTGTATTGATGGCCTTTTGAGCCTTGCTTTGATCACTCACCCAGGAATTGATAGAGAGCACATTTGCTATGTTTGTGGGTGACATCAGATTAAAAGAAATGATGGGTAGAATTGGGAGAAATTAAAGTGAGTATCTTAAAATATACAGAACACACAGTGATAGGTAGTTGGTACATTTAGATTTTTAACTAATGACAGCTAAGGTCAAATGTAATGTTTTTTTCTGGGGAGAGAAGTCAAGGAAAACACTAGTATGAAGGACTTACTTAGTCCTTTACAAGGTAAAATTTTCTCCTGGACTATAGTTACAGAGGTTGTAACATTAGCTAGGTATTTTTATTCAGATAGCAGCAATGAAGTATAAAGACTTTCTTTTCTTCCCTATGTCATCGTAAGGAAGTTTAGTGCTGTTGTTTAAGAGCCACTTTCTAGAGTCAGACTTTCTAGATTCAGATCTGGGCTCCACTACTAAATTACTGTTATTGTGGGCAGGTTACTTAACTGCTTCCTAATCTATAAAATGAGCACATAATAGTGCTTCCTTTATGCAGATTGTTTTGAGGATTAAGTTATAATGTATATAAAGTGTTTAGCTAAGGGATTGGTATTCAGTACATTTTCAGATGCTATTTTTTTTTTTTTAAGATTTTATTCATTTATTTGTCAGCACAAGCAGGGGGAGCAGCAGAGGGAGAGGGAGAAGCAGGCTCCCCGCCAAGCAGGGAGCCCAGCGCCCCATGGGGCTCCATCCCAGGCCCCTGGGATCATGACCTGAGCTGAAGGCAGACATTTAACTGACTGAGCCACCCAGGCATCCCAGATGCTATTATTTTTATTGATTTTAGAGGTTTACAATTAAATTACTGTATTATGGGTAGCAGAGAATGTGTATTATCCTTAAGATGGGGAGTTTTAAAAATGTAAAGTTCTGAGCTATCACATTTAGGAAAGCTTATGTCATCTTTATGTTTTCATTGCAGAGTTTTCACTCACATTACTAACCTGGCTATAGGTATCGTTAGGGAAAGCTGGCTAACGCAAATGGAAATTTTATTTAAGAATATTATCTTAATTCTCACCTAAAATAGTTGATACCATCCTTTTCTATTCCAGCCCTTAGTTATACACTCAGTAGGATCCAAAGCACAGAGTGTGGACATAACAAAAACAGAAACAGAAAGTAAAACTAAAGGTAAGTTTTTGAATAAAATTTGCATATTGGGAACGAAGCATGCTCAAATACATAATTAGATTTTTTGAAGATGTTAACACTGTACTACTTGATCACAGTATTAGATCCTATGAGATGTAAGTACTACAGGGTCAAAGATTTTAGTGTGCTTAACACTCATGTATCCCCCTGTAGTTAGAACTATTCCTAGAACATAGTAGGTACTTAGTAACTATTTGAGTGCATGGATTAATGAAATTGTTACTTAATTCAGTGTATAGTATTGGCCAAAATTATTCATTCATCTTTAATAGCTTCTAGTGTGCATTTTTTTTACACAGAGTAGAGGCTTAATAAGCATTGTTGAAAAAATTATTTAAACTACATTATTTACATTCTTTATTTTAGCAAAGGAATATTGTAGAACGTTATTTGCCTATGAAGGTACTAATGAAGATGAGCTTTCTTTTAAAGAGGGAGAGATAATCTACTTGATAAGTAAGGTAAGCTATTTCTCAGTTTTTCAGTGCGTCATTTAATTTATTCATTCTTACATTCCTCCTACAATGTAAGCTCTAGAGGAGCTGGAACTTTGAGAACCTGGCACATAGTAAGTGCTCAGAAAGGTTTTTTTTTTGAGAACATTTTTATTGTCTGTCTAATAATTGATTTATTGGGGATTATTTTTACCATCATGTGTGTTTTTTCTCCAACCTCAACTCCTCCAGATTTCTGTTCTCACTTCCTAGTTCACCTCATTACATTTTTCCCCCATCTAATGTTTGTTGTTTATAATATAAAAAGAGATCTTCTCCCTCTGCCCCTTCCCCTGCTTGATCTCTCTCTTTCAAAACGAATAAATAAATCTTAAAAAAAAAAAAAAAAAAAGAGGGGCGCCTGGTTGGCTCGGTCATTAGGCATCTGCCTTCGGCTCAGGTCATGGTCCCAGGGTCCTGGGATTGAGCCCCGCATTGCGCTGTCTGCTCGGCAGGAAGCCTGCTTCTCCCTCTGACCTTCCCCCTGCTTGTGTCCCTTTCTCGCTGTGTCTCTCTTTGTCAAATAAATAAATAAACTCTTTAAAAAAAATTAATATAAAAAGAAAAAGAAGAAAAATAAGGAAACAATTTAAATTCCATCAGTATGTAAATGTTTATAAAACCATACAGTGGAAAGTGATGCAGCTATTTCAAAGAATGAAGTAGTTTCATAACTTGGAATAAATTATGGCAAAAGAGGGGCGTCTGGGTGGCTCAGTCGGTTAAGCGACTGCCTTTGGCTCAGGTCATGATCCTGGAGTCCCGGGATCGAGTCCCACATCGGGCTCCCTGCTCGGCAGGGAGTCTGCTTGTCCCTCTGACCCTCTTCCCTC